ATGGAAGTTGGAACATTATGTCAAAGGGACAAAATTCTTGAGCCTAAGTATTGACTTAAATCGATGACTTAAACAGGAACCTGTCCTTCCTGGTTGTTTTCTGCGAGCCAGAGCCATTGGAGTAATGCCCATGATTGACCAGGTACTCTTCCAAACCTCTCAACTTGAACATCTCTCATTTCTTTGCATTGAATTTTTGTCCCTAAACTTTAACCAGTACGGATTTTATGCTTTTAATCCAGGGAGAGAAAGATGATAAGATTATTGCAGTCTGTGCCGATGATCCAGAATATACCCATTACACTGAACTCAATGACCTTCCCCCTCATCGCCTTTCTGAGATCCGTCGCTTCTTTGAAGACTGTATCCTTCACATTCTTACTTTGAAACTTAATGCATTACTTCAGATTTTTGAACTATTTGAACAACAGTACCATTTTTTTTTTTCTTAACATATTGCACAGACAAGAAGAATGAGAACAAAGAGGTTGCAGTTAACGCCTTTTTGCCTGCAGCCGCTGCTCTTGAAGCTATCCAGTACTCAATGTAAGTCTATCTTAAGGAACCACAAGTTTCTGAGCCATGGTGGTACAAGCTCTAATGTTTCTTGTTCTTTAAGAAAGAGATGAAAGTTCTGCATCCAAACAAATCATTCAAGCATCTCCTTTACCTGTCATTTTTTTCTTCCAATTTCCCAAGTTTGATGCAGTTGCTGACCTGTATGTTTTGGTGCAGGGACCTTTATGCTGAGTACATAATGCACACCTTAAGGCGGTAAACATTCAGGCTACATTTTCCACTAATTACAATAAGTCATTTTTATCAATGGCAGAGGAAGATTTTATGCAGAATTTCCCCAATTTTACTTTTTGTATTTTGGATTATGATTGATGCTTTTTTGGCTGATCAGTAAAGTGAAAGGAAATGACTACAGAATGTTGTTTTCATTTGTTTATATTGGGTATTCTATTATGATATCAATCTTACAACTAGTATTTTCCGATCCATTATGGACTTTTTTCTTTATCAACATTGGAAGGAGAAGTACCACAAAACTAAGAGCTAGTTGATCAATCTTTAGGTTACGGTTTTTGGGATATATTGCTTCGTGGTTGA